CTTTGGGCAGGAATGTCTAGTTCTCTTTAGGATGTTCAGTGCACACAGGCCCAAGTCTGCCCCTTTGACAATGGCTATCCTCTCTCAAACTTTCATGTCCAAATGCCCCCTAGTGGTGGGAGGTACCACTCCCGCTTAGAAACTACCCATGGAAACCCATCCCACAGCCTGCAGAGGCTAATCTGAATGGACATATTGGGATACAGAAAAACGCTCTTAAGATACACACTAGCAAGACAAGTTAGGGTTAGTTGTGATTACCATCACAATTTTATCCAAAATAACTAAAAAAATGCATTACTCTCGACATAGGTACTTGAACATGCAAGCAAAAAAGGTTAGAAACCTATTTTCCTCATTTGATAGAAATATGACTGCTTTCCTCTTGTTTTTCTGGAATCTCCTTCCTTCCTTCCTTTACTTTCCTCCTTCCTTCCTTCCTTCCTTCCTGCCTCCCTCCCTCCCTCCTTCCTCTCCTCTCTCTCCCTTCCTCCCTCTTTCCTTCCTTCTTCCCACTCCGTCTTCTCTTCATAGAGAGAACATACTATTTTTGCATTCTCCTCCTTCCCCTCCCTCCTCCTACTCCTCTTCTTCTTCCTCTCCTCCCTCTCCTCCTCTTTCTCTTTATAAAGGGAGAACATGCTATTTCAAACCCCCACAACAGGCTCTCCTGCCACTGGATTCTTGTCTAGACTTAGTGAAGACAATAGGTCTTTAACAATTTGCACTGGGCCCCGCTTAAGCAGCACAGATCTTCACTTTCCACTCTGCCAAACCCTTGGCCATGTTACCAAACCCACAGTTGTTATGGAGGAGCCAAAATGTGGTAGATGAAGTTGTGCCAAATCGTGCCAGCCCTTTTCTACCCTGACTGGCTTGGAATTTTGCTGAGATCTTTTTCTGCAGAGCCTCACTTTCATCCAGTGCTTCTTGCCAGGAACACTGGCAAAGATCTAGAGATGGGCCCAAATGTGATGACTAGAAGATCAAAGTTAAGGATGCTGCGAAATATCCCATAGAGCACAGGACTGGCTCTCCAGCAAAGAGGTACTGAGCTAAAATATCAAGAAGAGTGAGGTTCATAGTCCCTGCTTGTCAGTGACTTTCCAAATTCTTCCACAGGTACTATCTGCTATAAACATGTTGCCCTAGTGTCTTCAGGAGACAGGAGACAATCTTAACGCTTTGAGTCTGGAGGGAAAGTGGAGATGGTAGGTGGCTAATCAATAATAGACCCTGGCTCTCTGGTGGGCAACCTATAGGGGCCTTGGGTGATATTACTGTCCTAATTTGGATTCAGCAAAGGCAGAGGATATGAACAATGTCGTTGATTGGTTTTTAATCTAGTTATTTGAAATAACAAGACACACACCTTTCCTTTCTGGTATCATCTATCATATTTGTCATTTTCACTCTAAGAAGAGCCAGTGAGTTTTTATGAAACCAAATGTCCATATTCAAAAACACTTCTTCTCTACATGGGAGAGGACTTATATTTGCATTCTATTAACTTGAAGGTGTTTCTCAGAGGAAATAAGAGTAATAAAGAGTATCACCGGAAGGTATATCACCACCCCTAGGGTCGGGAGTGAGATGAAAGGTTTCAAACCAAAATGAAAACACATTACTCTCAGGCCTAACTAGTCTTTAATATTTTGCCTCCAGCACCTAACATTTCCTCATTCACTGTAATTTCTCTTGATAGAAAAATGGTTTATCTCAAATCATAGACAACTAACATGATATTAAACATCAGAACTTTTATGAGCAAAAGGCATTTAGAGCTAGCATTTTTCCAATCTTAGAACACATCAGTTTGATTTTTTAAAATCTTAAGACCCATAAATTGCTTTGTAAAAAATAGACTTTCAAAGACCTCATAATTTTAAATCGAAAGCTCATTTCTTCCACACAACATGACCCTTCAAACACCTTTAATATAGACCCACATTTTATTGGACAAATATAGAACTCTCCAAATAGCACGAAAAGACATTTTCTCTCTCTCTGGAGAGCAATTTCCTTTTCTAATCATGTGTGTGCGTCATCTAGGTTTGAGTAAGTGTAGAGAGCAGAGAAAAGCTGCCAAGGAACAATAGAATTGTAAGAGATGGGAATACCCTTTCATTTGCCATAATTCTAACCACTTGTTTAATCGTGTTAATCATTTTCTTTCAAAACAAATCAAGGAAATTTCAGTTTTATGTTTCCCAAAGACAAATGGATGAGTCAAATGGTCTCCAAAAATACCATAGGCACTCACATTTGGGTCTGTTGGATTTAATCAAGAATCCTTGCTTCTGCAACTGGCTATTCTTTTGGGTCAACATGAGTAAAAATTTCCTCTGAATGTGCGTATCACTGAATGATGTTTAATAGTCTTAGGGAATAATCTATTCAAGCAGAAAAAAAAAATCCAACAGCTTAACTTTGGAACATTTAGGGCCCAGCTTAGCAGGAAACAATGTCCTTTGGGTAAACAAAAGAAAGACAGGTCATGTCAAAGTTGCTGGAAATGAGGTCAGCAAGAAAATGGAACAAGCTCATAGATCTAGCTAGTTGTTGGGAACTCGGCACTCAAATGTTGGCAAAAGCATTATCTGGGTCTTCAGCCAATTAGCACCACTTCAGAGAGTCCAGACAAGACTGAATCAAACCTTCTCATTCTTCTAAAATGAATTCTTTAATATGCTACTTTTCAGCCGAACAGAAAAGGAAGATAGAACATCAATATGCCAACTGTAAGAAAGCGCCCCATTGCTCTCATAAACACAGAGAACAACCTTCAGTTTTCACGGAGATATTTTCTGCGTTTCTAGTCTAAGACATTTCCTTCTCTGCAGTAAGAACAGAGATGGCAAAACTGAAAAGCCTGTACTGTTCTGACAAATAAGACAAAAAGATTAAGTGGATTCAGTGAAGAGAATACTTCACTAAGTAAGTGAAGACTAGGTGAGATCAGATATCGTCTAAAACAAATGGCCAAACTTTCAAGACAGACACATAAAATTATTCAGGAAAAATTCCTGCATTCTAGTTGGAAATTTAAAGAATACCTTCCTGGCTGAACAAATCATAAACTGCATGCCCAATTTTATCTGTCAATTTGCAAGCCCCACATGGAAGGAAGAAATGCAAAATGGCCAATCAAAGAGATGAAGGAAGTAGTTGGATGAGGTGGCTTATGCCTGTATGCCTTGCTATTCAGGAGGCAGAGATCAAGGCTAACCTGAATGGAAAAAATCTGCAAGACTTCTCCATCACACTAAATGGCTGGGCACTGTGGTGTGGGTCTGTTATCCCAGCTATGAGGAAATCACAATGGCTGGACAGTGAGAAACACCTCTCATTCTCACTCACACATAGGAAGATTTAGTCCAGGCTGGCCCAGACATAAAGCAAGTCCCCAGGTCAAAAAGAATCAATGTGCAAAAGTACTGGAGGTGGTTCAAGTGGTAGAGTTTGTAGCTCCGGTGATATCAAACAAAAAACCCTGAGTTCAATCCCTAATAGGAGAGAGAAAGAGAGACAGAGAGACAGAGACAGAGAGTTATTGGTGAATTGTTGGATCTTGCTTAATTAAAATGAACTTTTCTGAAAGCGTTATCACATTGAAAGTTCTTATGCAACTTTATGGTTGTTTATGTTCAAACACATTCTGTTAGACAAAGAGATCTCCAAAGAAACAAATTTAATGGGTTAAAGGAAGGCAACAGTGGACAAACACTTCAATCTGGCAATGTTGTCTCTGAAAGTTCACAGGGAAGATAATACACAGCTTAAGATGTGACTGACAGAAGAGAAAGTATGAAGCACCAAGAAATGGCAAAACAATGGCTGTACACCAAACACTAAGTATCTGAGATACATAGTTCCAAGGGAAACCCATGAATACTCAGAATACAAAGTTCAGGCTATACTGTAGATGCTTGGTACATCTCCCATTGAATTGCACAACCTCCTCTAAAGACATGCTGTTTTCAAACAAACTTAAAATTTTCATTTTATCACTCGAGTATTATTAGCACATTCACTTTTGCCCTGTTTTGGAGAGTACCATTTGCATTTTCTTCGTTTTGTGCTAGTCCTAGAGCTTGATCTCAGAGCCTGGGCACTATCCCTGAGCTTCTTTTGCTCAAGGCTAGCACTCTACCACTTGAACCACAGCTCCACTTCTGGCTTTTTTGGTAGTTTAGTGGAGATAAGAGTCTCACAGTCTTTCCTGCCTGGGCTGGCTTCAAACCACAATCATCAGATCTCAGCCTCCTGAGTAGCATGAGCTACTAACACCCAGCTTCAATTGTATTTTTTGAGACACAGATTTTCACAAAATTAAGAGCAACTACACAGTAGACAGTTCCTACTGTGAATAAAACCTAGAGCGGAAAGGGACTGACTTGGGAATAATAACAACAATAATAACAACAATAACAAAACATATGTAACAAATCTGCAAATAAAATGGGCTATTACAAAGAAAAAAAACATGGGAGAAAAGAAAGGAAGCGGGTTCTTCTCAGCAAACCAGTACAGCTTGGGGCTAGTGCCAGACTATTTCAGGAAATGTCAAGGTCTTGCTTCGAGGTAGTATTTAAACACAGCAAGGATCACTGGGAAGGAAAAGGCAAAACGCACATTTCCTCAGTCCTCTTTCCAAAACCTCTGATTGGTGAAGTCCATGGTCAAGTTATAGCTCCTCTTTTCCCCACCCAAAATGATCTATCAATAGCTTATGTTTCAAAGTCAATGTTCCGGAAACATTTTTTGTCACACAATCTAGGAATAGTCAATCAAGTCAAATGAATCGACCACAAATCACCGAAGGCTCTATTTCATCTGCCATTCTCATCTCCCACTGGGACCCATGATGTTGCCAATCCCATTCAGCAACAAACACCTTTCTGAATCATCCCAAGTCCCCACCTCCTCCTGAACTAGAATCAGGAAGAAGCATCTGAAAGACATACACAGATTCTAAAGACGCCCTTGGAGACCAGTACCTGTTCAGGCTTCAGCCCTGGCGGGACCCAGGCATACTCTTCCAAGGCACAGCCTGAGTCATCATCCGAGGTCGAGTTCCTCTGGAAGTCAAACATGAGTTTGCTGATGGTCTTCTCCATCTCCAGCGGCATCACTGTCACCATGTGCTCTTCCTGGGGACACTTGCAGTGTAGGCAGATCTTCCTGTAGACAGCAGACAGGGCATATAAGAAGCAAGAAAAAAGAAACCTTTTATTTTTTTCTTTTCCCCTCCCCTTCAAAAGCCTGCCAGTCATAGGCCTTTGGATCCCCAACCATAAACACATCCCTTGGCAACCAACTCCTCAAGCTAAGATCTAGAGAACGCCTGTGTTGGTGGAAGGTGTGGTACCCATGTGTCATATGGAAACAGTGAAAGACCAGAAAGTCACCAAGACAGCATGCTAAGGAGCTTTACAGCTGAGACTCAATCTTTTCTTCTTAATTTACATCGCAAGAGGAACAGTTCTTTTTTCTCTTACTGCCTCGACCACAGGAGTTGGACCATGAACACAGTTTCCTTAGCTGCAGTAACAAATACATATATATATATATATATACTTATATACACATTTGTGTATATGTAAGGGTGTGTATATGTGTGTGTGTGTGTGTGTGTGTGTGTGTGTGTATAAAATAACTGGACTAGAAACATCACAAGATTTAACAAACCCTGACAATATTCTGTTTTTTTAAAAAAGGTTCCTAAGCTATGGTAAACAAAACAAAATTTTAAAAAAAAAACAGAGGGAAGAATTTTCTAGAAGAATAACGACACTTCTCCCCCCCCCCCCCCACTGGTCTCTCCACTCCTCCCTTTCCCCTAGAACTGAGGCTTGAACTCAGAGCCTGAGCACGATCCCTTGGTTATTTCACTCAAGGCTGGTGGGTCTATCACGCGAGCCACAGTTCCACTTCTGGCTTTCTGCTGGTTGATAGAAGATAAGAGTTTTACTGACTTTCCTATCCAGGCTGCCTTTAAATCATGAGTTTCAGATCTTAGCTTTTTGTGTAGCTAGGATTACAGGTATGAACCACCAGCGCCTGGCCACAAATCTGGTCTAAAGATTTTGTAGGACAGGGATTTTCACCTCTATTGCAAGATCCTGGACTGGAATTTTAATTAGAAAGCCAAAATTTTCCCCATGTTGCTAGGTTTTGAATAGACAAGAAGATCATGCATTAGAAGATCATGGATCATAAGGTAAAGCCACAGATCAAAATCTCTCCCCATACTGAACATTTAAGGTTACCATCTGTTCCCATATTCTTAGCTACAGAAATGATGAAGCAAGAAATATGTTGATGTCATCAATACAAAAGTATTTCTAGTTTCCATCAATAAGATAAAAATAAAATAAGATGGAGAAAGAAAATAAGTCGTTCTCTGTTTACTCTGGTTTTTATTATTAGTTTCAGTAGCCATTTATAAAGGCAGTGAAAGAGCCTCCACATTAAATCAATTCTATCTGTCTGTCTGTCTGTCTGTCTGTCTGTCTGCCTGCCTGCCTGCCTGCCTGCCTGCCTGCCTGCCTGCCTACCTACCTACCTATTGTACTGGGCTTTGAATACAGGGCCTTACACTCTACCACTCAACCCATGTCCCCAGCCCTGTTTGAGTTTTTTGTCAACTTTGTTGAGATATAATTCACACACCATTAAATCTATCATTTAAAAATGTATACTGACTGGGTGCTGGTGGCTCATGCCTGTAATCCTAACTATTCAGAACGCTGAGATCTAAGGTTTGTGGTTCAAAGCCAGCCCAGGCAAGAAAGTCCTTGAGATTCTTATCTCCAATTAACTACCAAAAATCAGAAGTAGAGCTATGGCTCAAGTGGTAATTGCTAGCCTTGAGCAAAATGCTCAAGGACAGCACCCAGGCCCTGAGTTCAAGCTTCAGGATCAGCACATACATAAAAATGTACAGTCACTCAATACATTCATCTTTATAAGTAACACTGCTCTGTATATTTAGATTGAAATTTTCTGTGTAGGTATTAATTTTATTTCTCTTGGCCAATACACAGAGGAATGCAATTGCTGAGTCATGTAGCAACTTGGTTTAGTTTCTTGGGGCTTTTTGGTTGTTGATTTTTTTTTTGTCAGTCGTGGAGCTTTAACTCAGGGCCTGGGTGCTATGCTTGATCTCTTTTGCTGAAGGCTAGCAATGTACCCCTTTCAGCCACAGTGCCCTTTCCAGTTTTTGAATGGTTAACTGGAGATAAGAGTCTCACAGGGACTTTTCTGCCTGGGCTGGCTTTGAGCCTCGATCCTCAACCTCAGCCTCATGAGTAGCTAAGATTACAGACCTGAGCCACCAGTGGCCAGCGTGGCTTAAAAAATTTAAAAACCAGGTATGATTTTTAGACTGATTCAGTCGCATAAGAGTCCTGCTGAATTCATGTTTTAGCTCCAACAGCTAAATGTGACCTTGAGGACTGTCTATATACAAGATCATATCACATGTGAACAGAATTTTATTTCTTCCTTTCTTTCCTTTCTGGTAGTTTTTATTTATTTGTTTTGACTTACTGCCCTGGTTAGAACCTCCTAAAAAAAAGTTGAATAGAAATAAGAGAGAGCAGCCAGTAACAGGGGCTCACTCTCTTCACCTCAACTATTCAGGAGGTAGGATCAGGAGGAGATCCACCAGACAGGACAAAAGTGTGAGATTCCATTTCTGCAGAAAAATCTGAGCACACTGGGACATGCTTACCATCGCAGCCACACGGAAATCATCAGTAAGGGATAGAAATAAAGGCTGGCCTAGCTGTAAACATGGCATCGTATCTTAAAAACAACCAGAGCATAAAGAGGTAGGGAAGTGGCTCAAGGAATAAAGCATCTACCTAGCAAGTGCAAAGCCCTGAGTTCAGACCCCAGTCACCCACAAAAGAAAAAGAATTGAAGAAAGAAGACAAGTTTGTCTTATTCCTCATTTTCGGGGCTGGTATCCGGTCCTTTGTAAGTTATTATTTAGTGAGCTATTTTTATTTTAGTAAGTTATTTTATTTTGTAAGTTATTTTTAGTTGTAACCCCTATCCCTCTTTCTTTTGTTAGGTCCTGTGCTTGAATTCAAGACCTGGGTGCTATCCCTGAGATTCTTTCTGCTCAAGGCTAGCGCTCTACCACTTGAGCCATGGACCCCCTTCTGGCTTTTTCTGAGTAGTTTTATTGGAGGTAAGAGTCTCACAGACTTTCCTGCCAGGATGGCTTCAACCATGATCCTCAGATCTCAGCCTCCAAAGTAGCTAGGATTACAGGTGTGAGCCCCTGGTGCCTGTCAGCTTTACCTTTCTAGATAGGTTCCTTCCATTGGGATGAGGAATCAAAGTCCCTTCTATGCTAGTCTGCCAAGTCCTGATATCAGGAAACAGCATTGGATTTTGGCAAATGCTTTTTCTTCATCTGTGGAAATGACCAGTTATTGTTATTTTTTTGTTCTCATTTCTTAAATGTGCTATACCTGAATTCTGACACACAAATGTACTTGAAAAAACAAAATCAGTTTTGCTCAGCCAAGTAAAGCTCGTCAGAGTCTCCCAGTCCCTGCTTTTCATCACGTCCAAAAACTCACAGACAGAACACATACCTCGGGGCCTGGTTAGCATCTCAGAACTCAAAATGTTCTATTGGATGCTGCTTTGCGAAAGCAGCAAGACCTTGAGTTCCATCCCCAATACTAATGCCAAAAGGAAAGTAATCGAGGTGCCTTTTAACAACCACTTTCTAATTAATCCACTACTGTAAAAAGGTCAAGGTTGGTAGGGGAAAGAAAAATCAGTACTTCTTTCCCACCAGAACTTTTTTTGATGCCAGTTTATGACTTTAGAGGCAAAATAAAGTTTCACTGCATCTAAAGCAAATATAGTAAGTATTTGGTAATTCATGACTTTTACTTGAAAGCCATACTTCAAAATCAAAATGGAGAAGAGTGTTTCACCAAATCTGGTCTCTAAATAAGGACCCAGGAAATTCATTTATTCAGCTATGGAGGGAAAGGTACAATATTTAATCCTGAAGGGAAATAATCTAAGGAATGTAAGGTTGGTCACTCAACAAATACCCTGAAAGCACCTGCTAGTGCCAGAGACAGCTCTAGATACTTGAGACATGTAGCCACAACATAGATCCCTGTCTCATGGCATGTACAGTCCCAGAAACAAGAAACATACAGTAAGTGATAAATACAATCACTCAATTATATGATAGATTAAAGGTGGCAAGTTTTGACCACAGGGTGATGGAGCTGGATGAGGTGAGAAGTACACTCAGATAAATGCATACCATAAATGACCTCCCTTTTATCTTACACACACAGACACACACAGACACACACACACACACACACACACACACACACGACCTACCCTCACCTGTCAGAACACCAAGACAAGATAATCATCTCCACTATCAGAGAAGCAACAAAGATTCAAGGCAGTCAAGCAACTTGGTCAAAGGAAGTTCTGAGCACAATGAGGACTCAAAGTAGCAGTCATCTGAGTCGCCATGAAAGAAAACATCACTGATAGAAATCCCACCCAATTTTACCCATGGGCCCTTTTACAAACTCACTGCCTTGCCCCCCCCCTCCCCCCCTCCTCCCAACAAAGCAAAACCAAAGAGGGGAAAAAAGGAAAGAAAACAAAAACAGCAAGTCAAAACCACAGAGACTTTTCTATGTTTCCCGCTAGCTGGATGTCTTCTGCTCCTCATTTAGAATTAACAGGAACTCCCAAGGCAAGCCATTTTTATTTGCAAAGAATTTTCAACCTCTAGCGACTCCATGACTTTGGAAAGGCTGATTTAATAACTTCTATTTGCCAGTTGAGAACCCAAGGCTCAGTTGCTTAGAAAGGCACAGAGGGTCAGAGATAGAGCCACCAAGACTTGTCTAGATCTTTGATTTCTCTCTCTGCCATTGGCAAAATATATAGTGCCACCCACTCACTCACTCTTTCAACACCCTAATGAAAGCTCTTTACCTGAATGAAGTAGATTCAGAGATGTGTGTGTATGGGGGATATGCATGATTTGGTGTTTATTTTTTAATTAGACATTTATGAAAATAGAATCTGCTGGTAACGTTTTATTAAACACGCGTGTGCATGCACATGCTCTCTCTCTCTCTCTCTCTCTCTCTCTCTCTCTCTCTCTCACA